CATCTCACAGCCTGAGGAAACAAACTTCTCTGAAGTGGTGGTACAGCAGCGTCACAGCAGGCTGTGATTGGGTACATAATCCTTTCTGTGCAGACATCTCACCTCACAGATATCACTGTTGCTCCACAGATAGGTGCTAGTGACAGGCTATTTATATTTTGGTGAGTTATATACATAGGATCAGGTATTAAAAAATACTAGAATCCATATAGTAAGAATACTACACATTTTACTACAAAGGTATACTGGGAGACATTGTGCAACGTCCCATTTTTTTTAAAGCAAACTGTGAGCAAAGCCAAATGGGAAATGCTACACCTGAACTGAAGTGATTTTATTATTCAAGCTCTGATTCTTGATCTGATCTTCTCTTCAGTTCACCTTTTTTCTCCACACAAGTCTGTTTGAATCGTGTATTGTTACGTTATTTTCAAATTCATTCTTAAAAGGACAATTTCAAAGGCTTTAATGACTTGCTGGAAAATGTTTGTGACATAGAATTAATTTTACATACGATTTATGGTGAATCCGGTATCAAAATTCAGAAGATGAGTTTTTAGCTTCTGACTTGTCATGTGACGCGTCCGACGTGCTGACGTGGCAGGCGGCGTACGGACGTGCCGTAGGTTTAAGTTTGTTTGCTAATGTTAGCCGTATTATCAGCAGAATTAGCTTATTTTTTGTGCTCCTTAGTCCGGGTTAACGAACAGTGAAGACGGGGAACGACTGTCGAGTCGCACTGCAAGGTTTCACCAGCCAGGACAAACTGTGGTAAGTGCTGTGCATCAGCTACGCCTAATGCAGCCGAACCCTTATTTCATAGATTCAGAAATAATATAGAACCTCTATCCAGCTAAAATAAATGCATGTGTCGTAGTTAAAAATACTTCTCAGCAATTTTCAGAATGTTTTCCAAAATTCGGCTTCAAAATATTCCACCGGTTAATTACAGGTTGTTTTTTTTTTTTCTACATTTTGCTGCAAATCGTTTTACAGTGATTAGGCTAGCCGCTAGCATCGCTGTGTTCGGCTATATAAAGAGAAAGGAATGGATGAAGTTCATAAAGTACACGCTTATGATTGAGATAATTCTTGAATGACTTGCTTTAAGCCGAACCGACGAAGAAGAACGCAGCAGTTTGGAAATATATTTAAAATGCTTTTTATTTTGCGAAAGATCCTCCACTTTTTTAGAAATCCAGAGGAGATTTCATGTGACTGCATTCTAAATGGAGCTTAACACCAAACAGTAATAGTTTGGTGATAAAATTGCTGTTGAACACGAGAAGCAGATTTGGGCCTCATTAAATAAACTCTGTTACCCGGGGTCAGGTTTGTGTTGCATTCCAAGCAGCTGGAGTTCAAACTTTAGGAGAATGAATATTGGCTCTAAAAGTAAGAAGCGGATGTTGCTGCCCAGCCGTCCTGAGCCCCCGACCGTGGACCAGATCCTGGAAGACCTCGACAGAGCTGCTCCTGATGACCCCATCTTCAGCATCCTAGAAAAGACTGGACAAGGTGACTCCACAAAGACGTGTATAGGGTGGGGATGATAGTGAGTGGCAACTTTTAAAACTGGGAGCACTGGGGAGGAGAGACAAAGAAAGAGCAAGTTTGGTATCTTTCATTAAAGCAGCATGTCAGAAGCCACAGTCACTTTTGTCACGACTGATGATGAATATAAGGGGTAGAAATTGTAATTTCACTGGCCATTGTAAGTAGCTTCTTGGTCAGGAAAAAAACCACAAAGTAAATCATTTTATATTATTTTTGAATAGTTCAGCATATTTGAAGTAGGGTGGTGTGATGTTGTGATCTACTCTTTTGTGTTTGAACCAATTTTAGTGATTTAAACTATAATCTCCAAGTCAAGCAACGTGGTTTGATGGGGCGCCACTTTGGCTCGGTGGGCGAGCAGGCTGCCACATGCACTTTCTGGGTTTGACAACAAAACACAATGGGAGTGATTTTGGGGAGACAATAATGTGATGTAATGGCTGCGAAAGTGACAGAAAGCAGTACATGTACAGGGCTGGACTGAAACGTGCTTAAAGGAAGTTCATCTGTGAGGCAGAAAAAGATACAGCTAATTGCACGACTCATAATAATGTAGAAACACATTTACTGTTAGTTTAGTCATGTTACTCTCTCCCCCAGTGTTCAAGGTCTGTTAGTGTGTTTTTGTAGTGTTTTTCTATTTGCTGTTTTTTTTTCTCTTAAGGTGCCGTGTATTTGGCCTCTCAGGGACACTGTAGATTTCTTGCTTCAAACTTTATCCGACGCTGCTGCTTTATAGCAGATATCTAAACTGGTCGTAATCTCATGGTTTACTCTGTTTCCTCCTCAGACGTGCCCCGTGCCGCAGACAGCGAGGTGGAGCAACGGTTCCAACAGTGTCGTCGATATCTGGAGCTGAACAAGGAGCTGCAGGAGGCTCGGGACCGGCTGGTGCAGCAGAGGGAAGAGCTGAAAGCAGCAGGAGAGCAGGCAGACAGAGAGGTGGAAGAAGTCAAAAGTCAACAACTGTGATTTGACCTTCCCTGTTGGACAGACTCTCCTTGTCATTCGTGGTCTGGCTCGGTTTCACTGAAGTCTTCTCAAACTCACTGACTCGGCACAAACCTGCGCTGGTGCCACTGCGTCAGGCGCACAGCACTAGCTGACCTCTAACCCCAGAGCAGAAGTACATGATTTTGTATACCTAAGGATTGTTGGAGATCAAGACTACTTCACAATAAGTCTGATGCTGAGCAAAGCTTTAAATGTGAAGCAACATGAAGAGTTTGATGTCAATCATTACTAAATTATAATGAGTATAGTTAATGTCTGTCATGTAGCAGTTTAATATTTCACATTGTTCCAGGTGTATGTTAACTCAGATTGAAATAAATGTTGATGTAATGGATCAAGCAAAAGTGCCAGATTACATATTGTAAAGGGAAAAATAAATGATCAGAGTTGTTTGGTTAATTGGTATCTTAAAGAAAGCAAGAAAGCACCTTGTCTTAAGAATTGTTGCCCAAATTACATTTACTGCCAGTTTGTTGTTTCTACGGGTTCCTGTAGGTCATTAAGGCTTTAATTCAAAATCAAGAAAAAGAATGCTGTAAAATCCCCCTCCTCCCACCAAATAAAATAAAAATAAAAATAAATTAATGGTTGTATTTAGAGATGATGTATGTTTGACATTTGACTTTGAAAGTCATTTTTTATAAAGAAGCTGTTGTTTGAATATCATTTGCTCAGAGTTATTTTTTATAAAACGCGTTAAGCTTTTAATCATCTTTGGAAAAATGCTGCTTTTCACAGTGTGAACTTTTTCACAGTGTAGCCATACTTTTTTAATACATAATTTGGGAGATTTTGTTTTTAAAGTTACATTTTGTATGCAATTAAACTGCCATCACAAGGGGGCAGCACTTTACCAGAACATTTTAGCGTTGGGTCCAAATAAAGTGAAATCCGTATAAGAAATCTCCTACCGGCTATAAAGACACACCAACCAGTGCAACCTGACATTTGCTCAAAGCAAATTACCACTTGTGTGGACACCCCTGACTGGACAGAACGTCGACACAGCTGTTTAAGGAAACACATCACTTTTTATTGAATGAAGACATTTAAAATGACATACGTTTGTTTTGCACGTTACCATGATACCTCTGGAGCCTTGTTCATGCTCACGATGCTTCGACCAAGTTCACAGTTCGGTTCAGACCTGCATTAAACTTGTCTGCAGTCACGCATAAACAAGGCACCAGCAGAGACTCGGATGGTATTTGTCTCCCTGCTCATCTTGTTCACACCTCATTCAGTCTGGATGGGGCTGCTAATGTGATTCTGGACCCTAAATCTGTCTTTTGAGTGTCAAACACTTAGCTAGTTTCCTCTCAGGTCTACAGTTACAAGCTCAAAAGGTTTTCACTGGACGTTCAGAAATATTTTAATCATTATGTTTGAATATTTTTCCCTGGTTAGGAAAGCTCCGATCAGATTTCTTTTTTTAACTGATTTATTATTGATTAATATTCTACTTATTTACTCAATGACTTGTTAGGTCTACATCGTAAAAGAGTGAAAAATATCAAATGAAGATTAAATGTTATGTCAGAACAGGCGATTTTTTTTACATCTTATTGATGTGACTTTTCTTCCTTTGCTTTTTCATGGGGAATATGTCAAGCTAAGGATTTAATAGGTTATTTGATTTTTCTGGTTTGCTAAGTGATAAAGTAGCAAACAGCTGCACCTCTTAACTGCTCTCTTAACAGTTTATAGACTAAATACATAGACTAAAACAGTCTATGTGACTTTCTCAGCTTCGTTGAGCCACACTACTGTAATCATGTGCGCAGTGTTCTGCAGATGTTTTCAGTTACTTCTTCCAGAGCTTTGCACAAAATCCAATCGTGTTTGACACTCAAGAGAGATTTCTATAGTGAATCACTTTTAAAACTTTAAATGGGTGTTGGGACTTGAAAGGATTGCATTCGGAAGCTTCTTGGGTTTTATTGAAACATGCTTTGAGAACACAGGAAGGAATTATGTTTTTTTTAAATTACCGGCCCCTTAATGTAGACTAACTTTCATCCCATTCAGCTCAGTGGGCACACATGAAAGAGTGATGGTACAATTACAGAGAATATTCATCGTCTTTGTACTTTCCACCTATCACTACTTTTACAGCAATACAGTTAAGCGGATATTAACACATTATAAAGACTTCCAGAAGATGACTTCTGTGAGAACGCACGTCTGTCCACTCAAAGCCCGACCATCAGTGAAGTAGCAAACAGTACCTGAATCTAGTAGCAAACACAACGTCAGAGGCATGGAGTCGCTTTGCTCATCTATGCTGACAGCTTATATCTTTATAGGTTTTTGCAGCACAACAATACAGATGGCAGGTAACGCTGTTGTCGGGCTTTGGAGAGTATATTAACACTGAATATTATTCAGTGTCCACAATGTTAACAGGTGTGTGTATACAGTCAGTGAATATATTAGCATGCTGTCAGGGAGCGACACCAAGGCTCTTCTACCCACCATGGAGCTGTAGTATATCTGCATATTTACAATACTGGTTAAGACACATTAAGAGAACTGGAAAGAGTGAAATTGTTCAGAATCTGCTGATGCTTTCTGTGGAAGATGCTGTAATATTTCTGCATGTTTGGGTCATTGCAACTTTCAAATGACAGAGTAGAACTGTTTTATGGAAATGCTCAATTTAAACTGCTATAATTCATTGCTGTAGAGTAAAAGTTTTGTATAGCAATATACATTCAGACATTCACTAAACACATGTGCAATCTGACTCGACAGCTGCGGCATGATGTCTGCTTTTATGATGCTAATAGATTGTCAGAAAGGTGTTAATCGTGTTGTTCACTGTCAAGGTCATAATGGATAGTTCTTATATTTTGCCCCTCTAAGCGAATGGACAAAATGTTAGGAAGATTAACCAACATTTCACTTGAAATAAACATAATTATCACCTTTGTGTTAATGTAAAAAAAAATCTGAAAATGTGTGGTATAGCTGTTGTGCAAGACTGGACAAAAATATGTTTGGTGGCTTTTTAAGGTGTGAACAAGAAGTTCTGAGAATAGGACCAAGAAAATCATTTCGATTTACACTTCTGACTTTCTGTCCAAGCTCATCTTTTTGGGCATGTCCAGATAGCGTCTAATGTGGCTTTCTTTAAATGATTATGTGGAAGTCCTGTCCTCGTGCACTTGGTGAGAACATTCAGTGGAAATGACTTGAAATGTTGTGCATCAAAAAGCAGGACTTCTAGAGAGATCTAAAAATAGCAGCTGTTTGGGTCATTGCAATTTGAATCATTTTCAATGCAGCTGCACTGATGACCATGAATGTGAGACTGACCAATTGTAAATCAGGAAATGTTTGAATTCTTTTTGGACCTTTTTAAAAATAACTTTTTGATCACACCTTGTATATTCATGTTATCAAGTAATCACGCCCAAAACCTCAACATATTCATTTTCATTTTGGTATCCAGATTTTTCAGTTCTGTACTAGTTACATTTTTATCATTTAACGCATTACAAAGGATGCCTTTGAAAAGACAACAATGCGTTGAGTTTTCAAAAAGCATCCACAAAGTGTATACACACATCAGGAAAATAATAAAATAGGAAAATTCACAGAAACACAAGTGTAATATTGATAGAGGACAGCGATTTGGGGGAAAAAAGTGCATTTGAGCAACTGGTTTCCTCGGAAATGTGGAAAACCTACTGGGCTCTGTATGTAACAGGAAAGGCTAACATCATATTCAGCTGAGCGTGGAAGGAGGACTCCAAGCGATGATGTATTTATGTAAAAAATACTTTACATGTTAGTGTATTTATGTCAGTAAGAGTCTGTCAACAGTCTGCCACAGTTTGTACCTTTTTATGTAGAAGTCCAACCAAGTGATCATTCAAAAGTTTGCATAATATTGGTCTTTTTAATCGATTGTGTCCAAGAGACTGATGATATACGTGCTGAAATTTCTAATTTCTACTAGGCAATGATTATTCTACAAATACAAAAAAAAGGAGTACAAAAATGCACGTTCTCTTCATGTGAGATTTTCCTTAGAAGTGCAATAACTGACAGTTATTGGTGGTTTGTTCAGGTCAGACTTGCCTCAATGCATACATCCAACTTTGTATGAATGGTAGAAGGAAGCCATAATCAATTGCTCAGAGAAAAACTTTGATTCCAGTGAATGGTTTAAATAAGGGTCAATACCCGAGGTATAGGGACCAGCACACTCCTCATCTGTCCATCTGAGTGCTGAGTCATCTGTATCAACCAATAATCCACCAAATACCCCATGACTCACTTTTTTCCCCCTGACTTCTCAATTATTGTCCCTACTTGGTTCTGGCTGTCTTGTAGACAGCATGTCATGGGGCTGGGGATGTAATTAAATGGAGTGACTCGTGCAGCCTTGCTTGGGGATCCCTGTCGGAAAGTCACAACTCCGCCCATGTGGCTATCTGCTGTTCCAGTGGAGACGGTGCTCCTCAGAGAGCCTTCTGAATCTCCTTCCTGGAGGTTACTCCCAGAGGTGGCACTAATCTTTCTGAGGAGGGCCAGTCTTGCTACTTCCTCAGAGATCACTGGAGCTGTTTCGACTGTAGGTGAGGTACTTGAGTTGGTCTTGTTATTTGATAAATCTTCTGTCTGGACGGTTGCATCACTTGTCTTGCGGGATGCAAGTAGAATGGTTGGCAGTTTTCCTGGAAGAGCTGGTGGCTTTGGCTTTTCTCCATCAGGAGAAGGCACCAGAGGTAATGCATTTGCTGGCAGAGTACTCTTCAAGATTTGAGGTACATCTTCATCCCTGATCCTCCTCCAGGTAACTCCATCTTTTAGTCGAGATGCGGACCTCTGCCCTTTCTTCTTGGTATCATCCTCACTCTTCGCTCTTCCACTTGAATCAGATGAAGAGGAGCGGAGGGAAGAACGACTGGTCACTCGGCTCAGTATGTTTATGCTTGGTGATGAGGCATGACGTTTAAAGGTGTCCTTGTCTTGCTGCTGCCTGAGTCCAGAAAGTCTTCCAGGTCCATTTCGCTGAGCCACCCTGCAGGGGCTTTCAGAGCTTGTTCTCCTAGCTGAGCGTCTTGAAGATAGGTCCCTTTCACTGGATGTTGCTCTTGATAGAGTTGCTGTCTGCTTGTGAAGGCCGGTGTTTGGCCTCTGGATTTGTTGTTTTTGATCTGGATCTCTTACTTGCACCCTTCTTGGGGGTTGCACAGCAGCCTTAAGTTCCTGACATCGGGATGAGCACAAGAAGACAGCTGAAGCTCCAGGAACTGCTCTGCGAGGTGATCCATTCTGAGATCCTGGTGTATTGCGAGCAGAGCTGTCACGTCTCAACATGGTCTTTGATTCCTTAATGAAAGTTAGCTGTCTCAAGAATCCATTGCGATCGGAATCACTGCCACTTGAATGGACAGAAGTCATCCTAACGAGATCAAACCGATTGGCTGGTACCACCCTTTTCCCATTAACCTGGTTTGTTTGTCTACCAGTTGTTTGGTTTGTTACCAGTGGGGACAATGGTCTGGGTTGCCTGACAGAATTTTGCATGAAAGGAATTCGGACAGGAGACTTTTGAGTTTTAGGTGGTGGGGATTTCTCATTTTGATTCACAACAGGAGAGCGTCCTTTTCTTTCAGGAGGACTAGTAGCTGGTGGGCTACTAGCTGGTGTAGCATTCTTTTTCTGGATGGATTTGTTAGTCTGAGCTGGAGAAGTTATCTTCTTCTGTGACTGTTTGGATGGTGTTGAGCTCTGCGATGATCCAGAAGATGAACTTTTTGGTATTCTTGGAGGTGGGGTAGAGCTCCTCTTTGGCAAAGACAGTTCCATATCCTGGGGGTGGCCTAGCCGGTGAAGGCTCTTTGATCTGTGCTGCGCTAGGTTTGGATTCTTTGGAGCATCTGTTTTGGTTGGTACTTTTCTTGGAGGTGGTCTTTGTGATGGAGCCGTCTCCTTTTTCGGTGTATAAATCACTGTCCTGCCTCTGAATACCACTGGTAAGTTTGGAACTGGCTTGCGCTGTGCAAAGTCCAAAGGTTTATTTGCCTTTTTGTCCTTAGCAAACTTTCTTTCTTTGGGTGTAAAGCTGGATGTTGACATGAATGACAGGACCGACTCAGTCTCTTCAGAGGACGGGTCTTGAGACTTTGAAGCTTGTAGTCCAGTGACCACACAGTTAGCACCTTCTTGTATGGCTCTCCATTCAACACTATTGAGGTCTGACTCTTTATCCCATGCCATGTCATCACTATCTATTTCCTCATCCACGTCCCACCCACAAGAAACCTTGTGTTTTTGTTTTTGAATATTTTCTGCTTTCTTTTTCCTGGCAGCCAACTTCCTTCTCTGTTTGGGCATGGCAGATGTTATGCACTTTTGAAGGAGATCGTCCTCTGAATCCATGCTGACAGAACTTGGCGAGCTTTGCTCTTCGTATTGGCAGTGAATGTTCACTGGCTTTGTTTGCTGTACTATGTTCACTGCTTTATTGTGTCTGTTCTTGTACCATATTTGTTGGGCTTTTGATTTATGATCATCATATTCAGCATCACTCAGTGAACTGAGAGAGGAGCTGAGTGAGTAACAAGCCATTGATTCATCTTTTATCAGATTCTGTTTTATCCTGTGAAACCCTCTGGACTTTGCTTGGGAATTATCTGACCGGCCAATATTTGTCATGCTTCGGGAAAGATTGCTTTTGCATGGTTCTCTGAAATGTTTTCGATTCATGACCTCATTGTCATTGTCATAGAAGCTGTTGCTGTCCTCTGAAGACAATGTTGTTTGTCGGTACATTTTATTTCCTTTTTGTGAACCCATATTGATGTTACTTTCTGTGTTTTGCTTAATGACAGGCAGTTCCAGTTTTCTGATGGGGCCTTGATCTTGTCTCCTTCTTTGTTGATTAGGAGACTGTTCACGATTTTTTTGGTTTGCCACTCTATCAGCTACCTCTTTGCTCTGCATCAGCACCTTCTGAGTGGGAATGACATGTCTGGTTGTTCTGCTCATTTGTATCTCAGGTGAGTAGTTCATGCGGTTGGGTTTGTGGAAATGTGAGAATATTCGCAAGTCTTCAATCCTCTTTGCCTCATCGTTCTGTTTGTTCATCCCTTTAGCTGTGCAGTCTTTAGCCCCCCTCTCCCTCACTGGATATTGCAGTGTTTCATCACTCAAAGATGTCGTGCTTGAGAAGTTGACAGGTGTTCCTTCTGCTGAATCAGTAAAAGATGAATCATCAAATTTTAAGTCTTTTTGAGGGATGACAATTCTTCTCCCGGGACACACTTGGGTTTTGCCATTTGGGAGCATCATGTAAACTGGAAGATGAATTGGTTTTCGGGCCTGGGAGTTCAGAATATGAGGAGGGATCGTGGTCATCAGGCAAGGTTTTACTTTTCTCAACTTTGATGGCATTGCTGAGTTGATGCATTCCTTTAAGATTTCTATGTCATCATCTGAATTGCCCTCACTGTATCGCTCCCCATTGTCAGGTCCTTGCTCATCCTCCTCAGGGTTGTCGTTTTGCTGGAGCAGGGGAGTTAATTTAAGCTCTACATCTTTCTGTATGTAGTGCTCGTGTAGAGGTAGAGCACTTAAACTGGAAGCACAAGAGAAGTTCTCAGTGGGTTTTTCCACAGTAAAGTAGATCATTGTGTCCAAATCAGGAGGAAGGTTAAACCTCTCCTTAGAGTCTGCAATCTCCATGAACTTCCGCAGACTGCTTTCCCATTGCCCTGCTATTCCTGTCATCTGTGTTTCTGGCCCATTGGGCTCAACACAACATGGAGTTTTACTTCGACTGGGAGGCATGGTTTGCCCTGGGCTATCAGGAAGATCACTAGGGCTTATTGTTCCATCAATCATTTCACTGCATGGATCACTCTGAATTGAGCTGGCAATGGAAGGAGACTCAAAGCTACCCAGTGAACTGACCGAGCTACAGCGACTCATTACCAGGGGTGTCTCATGGATGTAGTTCTCAGATGAACTAGAAGGTGATCGGTCTTCAAGTATGGCAGGTGAAGCTCCTCTTAGGAACACTTTTTCCCTTTTGGCTGGACAGGGGATCTCAATGGGATTTGTCTCTTTGCTTGGGAAGGTTTTTGAGTCAGTCATTAGCAGTTGACTGTCACTCAGATCCTCCAAGGTTTCATCCTCTTCAACTCTCTTCACCATTTCTCCATCTTCCACTTCAATTATTTCTAATGATGAGTCACTTTCCAGTTCATTTTCACTTTGCCCATCCAGAGCTCCATCGCCTGAGGAGAGGGAGGACAGCGAGCTACAGCGAGAGAAGCAGATTGGGGTATTTTCCACAGAATATTTCTGGACTGTCTCCATCGTTCCGATGGTTGGGCTTCGGGTTGAAGTGATTGGAGAAAATTTTGCAATACTCCCTCCTGTCATCACAGTAGGTACCCATGCTTGCCGCCTCATTGCTTGGGCAGCCTGGACATTGATAGCAGTCTTTGCTACACCAAATTTGGCTACACTCTGAATGAGAGGGACCTGTTGATAAGTAGGAGAAAGTTTTATTGAAGTCATGCTGACATCAGAGGACACTTTAGTGGATGCACTAACTGGTGTTTGCACAGGTGGATCTTGGTTCTTTTCTGTGTTTCCATTGCTGAGCTCTAGAACTTTTCCATTTTTGTTTTCAGCAGAATCTCTCTCTGGAATTTCTTGCTGGCTACTCTCAATCAGGGCAGCAGGTCCTACATTAATATACTCTTGATGGGCCACCTTCAGGTCGAGCTGATTGGGTCGTTGCTGTTGCATCATTAGAGCTTTTGGTGAAGGGCGCAGCTGGTCTTTGCTTCCGCAGTATCCATCACTGGTGCTGCCGCTGTTCAGACTATCTGTTGATACACTAGTATGGGCAGTTTTGAGGCGCAAGAGGGCATGGGCTCTGCTGAGCCGCTCCCTGTGGGCTAAGCTGCTTGTATCAGAGAGACGGCAGGGGGAACATGACTTTGCCCGGGCTTCATTGAGTTCATCCAGTCCATAAGGCCAGTCTGCCAGGTGGTCCTCAGAGCTTAGGCTTAAACTGTCCTCTGAGGATGTGTGCATGGTGATGTCCTCCACTAACCTGTCAATCTTGGCAACTGTGTTGGTGATCTTTTCTGCTAGCTTCTCTGCAGCAGCAGAGACCACATCATCAGGAGAAGCATGTTTCTTCTCGACAGTCTGAGGCGGGTCTACATCTCTCTCAGGCTCACTATCCCTCTTGCGAAGCTGGTTTTGCAGGAGGTTAGAGTTGGTGAGAAACATGGACAGCATGGAGAAGCTCCCAGTGTCCAGGCTACTTGAGATGTTTGGAGCCTCATCATCATCAAAACAACCGGAATCAGATGCGTAATCTTTTGCCAAACTCTCGATGTATCGTAGTGGCTTGTTGAGGGTCAGGTGTTTGGGGCTCTGTTTCTCAAGGGTATCAAAGGTCTCTGCAAGATGTTTGGCATCCAACTCTGCCTCCAGAGCTTTCTGCTTCCTCATGTAGAGTGAGGGCATGCAAGACCCGGGGGATACAACCGCAGTGTCCTTATATTTGAGCGGTCGATTGGTTAGGAGGTTCCTTAAAGCTGCAGCGCTGCCCATGGCTATCATCTTGTGCTTGGAGTGGATAAGATTGCGCAGCATGCTAACGGCCCCGAGGTCCCACAGCAGCTCCTGGTCTTTTGGGCTTCTGGCCGAAAGGTTCCAAAGAGTCCCGCAGGCGTTGCTTACTATGGTCAGGCTGTGGGAGCGCAGGTGCTGCAGCAGAGTCTGGAGGCAGTTGTGGTCCCTGAGGATTTGCCTGCGAAGAAAGAAAGAATGTAGAAGGCACTTTAATAACTTTGCTATATACAACTGAAAATCCCTCTTTTGTAGTTGTAGGTTTTTATGTTTAGTTCAGATTATGTTATTTTATACTACTGTATGGTTTCTGATCATATATCTGGTGAACATCACATTGTATCTCCTTTCTAATGCATCAATGTAATGTAATACAACAATGTCTGAATAAAATCTGATACTTTTTTCTACAAATGTCTCCAAATTCATTTTAATATAATACAGGAATAAAAAACAGTGAATAGAAATCTAATTACAATAGAGGCCGTTTTTAGGGGAAAATCTGTATAATTTATTAATATCCTGTTGCTGGGGCTTCTGTGCCAGCTCCTCTGTGACATCATACAGATCCATGAATAAAAAAAGTGTTAACCTGAGCACTGAGAGCAGTCTGAAGTCTAAGCAATTAGCTCACTGGGATTACTTGTACATATGCTCATGTTTAAGGTTTTTACATGAAACGTTTAACACGAACATGGATGGAAATAATTGTTGTCTGGGAACGTTAGATGAGTCTCATGAGCACACCTATAGTCTTCTCGTGTGGCAACCAGACTGGACACATTTCGAAGGATTCCTCCGCCGCTCTCGATGATGGCAAGTGAGTTGGTCTGACAGCGATACGTCAGCGTGCTGACCAGGAAGCCCAAAGCGCCATCCACCGAACAGATTGCTACCTTGTTGTCGATACTGTGAGCGGACAGGTTCCACAGAGCGCTCAGAAGACTCTTCAACGTTGACTCCTGCAGAACCAAAAGACACAAAAACAGGTTTCTTAGGTATGACAAGGAAAAATGGTAAAAAACGAAAAGAAAGAAGCTTAAACTTTAAATGTTGTAATAAATTCTGTTTCATTCCAGATTATTCTCTATGATCTTCCAAAATAAAAACTTCTCCTTCTCTGGGGGGAGATTTGTTTTCATTACCTTGGTGGCCTGCAGCGCGCAGGTCATCAGTGCAGACACACAGCCGATGTCTCGGAGGACTTTCTTACTGCTGATGTCAGCCCTCCAGGACAAGTTCCTCAGGATACTGGAGACCACCTGATGGAGTTCCTCACTGTCGGAGGCCAGCTGGGCCACCAAAGCCTGGAGACAGCTCTTCTTCGAACACAGAGTGGCCTGCAGGAGTAAAATGAATGTATTACTGTAGTGGATCAGTGAAAAGGGCTGAGCCAGATTTAAATGATGCTACTGTCAAAGTGAAGTAAGTAAAAATGATCAGAGAAAATAATGAATTAAAAAGAAAATTTAAGATTTATCTATTTATTGTGTTGACAGCAAAACTATCTGTCCTGATCAGACTTCTGTTGGGACTTTTAGATTAAAGTGATGGGGACAGGGGCCTTCTCTATCGTGGCTCCTAAATTATGGAATAATTTGCCCATGCACGTTAGAGAGGCCCCTTCACTGTCCACTTTTAAATCACGTCTTAAAACCCACTTTTATTCCTTGGCTTTTAACCTCAGCGAGACTTAGTTTCTCTTTTAATTGAAGTAGTTATGATTTTACTCTTATTT